TTACTGGCTCCATCCCCGCCTCTTTGACCTATCTGTTTCCTCTCCACCTATCTTCTCCTCTATTCATCTTTTATCCGCCTCCCCCTCTCTCCCTATTTATTTCAGAACCCCCTCCCCCTCCCCCATTTCTGATGAAGGGTCTAGGCCCGAAACGTCAGCCTTTCTGCTCCTATGATGCTGCTTGGCCTGCTGTGTTCATCCAGCTCTACACTTTGTTATCTCTAAAGGGAAGTAAGTGCTCAGTGTTGCACGGAGTTCATTTTAATTGGTTTTCCAGCCGAGAATGAAAATGAAAATCTTACGGGTAGCCAAGTTCCATAAAGTTATTCCACATTTGCTTCAGGACCATGATGATACCCATCTGCATGCACAGGTCAATCAAGCAGCCACTGGGATGACACTGTGTCAAATAAAAGCAAAGATTTATCAGATTACATGTCTATGTAAAGTATATAGAAGCAATAAATGTGTGCATGACATACAGGATGCTAGGTTTATAGTCAAATCAACTACAAAATTTCAAGCATAATTTATTTCTCCAATCTGCACCCCGAATGTTTCCCTAGGGTATGTTCACAATGAGAAAATTGCAGCAAGGAAGAAAAACACAGGAAATCCTACATTCTATCCACTTTTCTGTACTCCTCAGAAATCTAGACAATATTTAAAGATCTATGGAAGAAGCTAGAGGCCTTTGAAATCTGAATGCTGCGATGTTTACTTAAAATTCTCTATACACAGTGCAAGATAAATGAAGAGGTGCTTGAAATTGCAAAGGCAAAAGGATCTGTGAAAAGAGACATCGACAAAAGGAAATATATTGACTATTTTGCCATTGCTGACTGGCTACTGAGATCTCTTCTGGAGGAGAAAATGGAACAAGAAAGACAGGAGAGCGAATCGAAGCATAGCTGGATGGTAGATGTCACAGGGCAGTTGCAGATAAGCTGCAGAAGATGTGACAGAATGAGACTGGCGGATGATTGTGGCATAGCATGGCAGCAAAAGGTGGGACAACTGCTGCAAGTAACTCACCTCCTGTTACCCTAAAGCCAGCCTGCCATCTACAAGCCACAAGTCAGGAGTGTGATGGAATACTCCCCACTTGCCTGGATGGGTGCAGCTCCAACAACACAAGAAGCTTGACACCATCCAGGACAAAGTAGCCAAGTTGACCGCATCCACAAACATCCACTCCTTCCACCGCCGATGCTCAGTAGCAGCAGTGTGTACTGTCTACAGGATTCACTGCAGAAATTCACTAAAGATCCACAGGCAGCACTTTCCAAACCCATAAACCCTACCATCTAGAAGGGCAAGGACATCAGATACTTGGGTACAACACCACCTACAAGCTCCCCTCCAAGTCACTCACCATCTGGACTTGGAAGTACATCATGTTTCTTTCGGTGTTACTGGGTCAAAATTCTGGAAATTCCTCCCTCACAACATTGTGCATCTAATTACACTGAACGGACTGCAGACATTCAAAGTACCTTACCCCCACTTTCTCAAGGGCAATAAGGGATGGGTAATAAATGCTGGCCCAGCCAGCGATGTCCGCATTTCATACATTAATAAAAAGGATTCTCCTGGTAAAAGGAGCTACAAATGGACAGCAATGACAAGAGTGCCTTAACGAACGTCTGCTACACAGAAAGAATGCATCAAATTACGGAGTCAATATTTAAGCCCAATGTTGTAACGGACAGATTAAGATGAAATATTTGATTAAATTGGGGCTGAAATTGCACTTGTTTCACTGCAATGCAGGAGGTTGAGGGGGCGACCCGATCAAAGTCTATAAGCTTGTGAATGGCATGGCTAGAGTGGAAAGTATGAGGCCTTTTCCCAGGGTGGAGGGGTCAATTACTAGGGGACACAGTTTAAAGGTGCGGCAGTTGGGGTTGGGGTTGGGGGGGAGCAATTTTAAAAGGGATGTGTGAGGCAAGTTTCTCACACAAAGGGTGGGTGAGTGCCTAGTACGGGCTGCCAGATGAGATGGTGGACGCAGACACAGTAGCAGCATTTAAGAAGCACCTGGACAAATACATGAATAGAAAGGGAATAGAGGGACACAGATCCTGTAAGTGAAGACAGTTTTAATATGGAAGGGCAAAATGTGTCGATGCAGACTCAGAGGGCTGAAGGGCCTGTTCCTGTGCTGCATTGTTCTTTGTTCCCACATTCTAATAAAAGGAATGGTGACCCTTTGCACATCTCCTTCACATCAGCATAGTGGCATTGGGAGAAGTCCTCATTTAACTTATAATGTCATACATTCACAACAAATAAGATGTTAGCTGTTGCATTTGTTTCAAACATTTGAACTCTGAAAATCAGACACCTCCTGCTCCCATAAAACAACAACTGTGTCATCAAAATGAATTCAGATACTATTGCATCTGCATGTATAACACTGAAATTATTATATAGCGATATTATGTAACACCGATATTATTGAGAAATATTGCTGAAAGGCCAAGGGGAAATGAGCACATTTTTCTTCAATCTTTCCATTAACTGCTCATTAACTGCTCTGTGCTGTAGCATAATTTTTTTTTCTCTGGCACTGTGTTAGGGATTTGAAAGTGGTGAACACAATTGTGGCACATCAATCAATAAAACAAAGGTGACAGATTAGTACCTCTTCCAGCCTCCATCTCTTAAACAGCTTGGCATAAGCACCGGGCCGACCTGCAAATCTGATCAACACAGAAGAGGATTTTAGAGCAGTATTGGTCAGAAGTGAATCAACATATCGACCGTGTCCACTAATTCCGTTTTACGTGTTTAATTCAAGGGCGAATGCAATATTACAGTCAACGGGGAAGTGATGACCTCGTGGTATTATCACTGGGCTATTAATCCAGAGACCCAGGCAATCTTCTGGGAACACAGGTTCGAATCCTGTTGTGGCAGATTGTGGAATTTGAGTAAAATAAAAGTCTGGAATTAAGAGCCTTATGATGACGATGAAACCATTGTCGTTTGTTGGGGAAATAAAAACCCATCTGGTTCCCTTTGGGGAAGGAAATCTGCCGTCCTTGCCGGGTCTGGTCTACATGTGACTCCATACCCACATATGACGCTTCACTGCCCTCTGGGGCAATTAGGGATGGGCAATAAATGCAGGCCTTGCCAGTGGTACCCACATCCTAGGAATGGATTAAACAAAAAAAAAAACTGTAAGCAATGGTAACCTGGACTTAATGGAGTAAAATTGTACAACCAATGACAGAAGAACAGAGATCTTAAAAAAAATAATAAAAAGATGAACAAATGGATTCCGTGAGAGCATCAATGTTTCTACACTCATGGAATAATAACTAAGAAGGCAATAGTGTGCAAAAGGATATTCTGCTCTTCAGTTTGTTGCATTGCTCTTTGAGGCATGCAACTGTGATTTGAAGGCCACAAAATCAATTTTTCTCATTATTTGAATGCTTGACAAGTCATTACACAAGGCCATCAATCCTGAGAGTAAAGGAATTATAATGAACGGAGGTAACATGCATTACCGTTTTGTACACTTTGATCACAAACACACTGTCAAGACTTCCTTTATACTGGAGTACTGAGGAGAAATGTGCAGTCCAATTTATGTCAAAGAGCACATCCTCCCTCATTATCACAAACACATCCAACTTTAAAACAATAAAGGTCCTTATTTCCTCGGGAGCGCTCTTCACCAACAGGGAAAGAAAACATTTGATCGCCATCAGATCAGTAACAATTTGGTCTGCTAGATGTTCTTGAATGAAGTTAATAAATATTCTATTTACGCAAAGTGTCCAAATACGTGGGCATTTTTATTCTTGGTTCCACTATCAAGACACCAGTGATGTTTATCCAACTGGTTTGCAATGAGGGAATGCTGAGGTCTTGTATGGAAGTGGTGGAGAAACCAGGCGAATGCTGTAAAGACATCTTTTGGTGTAAGGGGAAATTGGATACAGGAATGGGCCAGTTGATCCCTCAACAGTGTTCCACCATTCAACAAGCTCACAGAATCCTTACAGTGTGGGAGACAGACCATTTGGCCCATCGAGTCTGCACTGGCCCTCTGAAGATCATCCCACTCATACCCAATACCCTACCCTATCCCTGTAAACCCCCCATTTACCATGGCCAATCCACCTAGACTGCACATCCCTGGACACTATGGATAATTTAGCATGGCTAATCCACCCTAACCTGCACCTCATTGGACTGTGAGAGAAAACCAGAGCACCCAGAGGAAACCCATGCAGACATGGGGAGAATGTGCAAACTCCACACAGACAGTCTCCCAAGGCTGGAATTGGGCCCAGAGGTGGGTGTGTGTGTGTGTGAGAGAGAGTGAGTGCCAGTGCATATGTTCGTACAGGAATCAGACACAGGGAAGCAAGCAAACAGGTATGCAACACAGGTCAAGCTCAATGAGGCTGGCAACTTCAGTCACCCCTCTGAACTATCGCTATCATAAGGCTGAAAACACGTGACATATTTCATATCTTCTAATGGGCTAACATCAAGCCAGCAGTGTGGATCATCTACACCTTTCCCATCTATGGCCCTTGAAGAGATGTCCAGCATCTGCTTGGAACATCTAGCAGTCAGGACATGGCCCAGGTGTTGATGGGGATAACAGCATTTATTGCTCATCCCTAACTGCTCATAGGGCAGTCAACAGTCAGTCATATTGCTGTGGGTCTGAAGTCACATGTAGGCCTGACCAGGTAAGGATGGTAGTTTCCTGATTAGTGAACCAGATGGGTTTTTCCGACAATTGACAATGGATTCACGGTCATCATTAGATTCTTAATTGTAGATATCTTATTGAATTCAAATGTCACCGTCTGCCATGGCGGGATTCAAACCCAGATCCCCAGAACGTTAGACAACAAGGTGCAGGGCTGGATGAACACAGCTGGCGTTATCTGGGTCTCTGGATTAAGAGCCCAACGATCATACCACTAGGCTATCGCTTACCATGGTGAAATTCAATGATCTGGGGAACAGGTTCACTTAAAGTTTTTGACAAGATTTGTAGCTGGAGTTGTGGATGAGTTTGTAGATTTGCTCGCTGAGCTGGTGTGTTTGGTTGCAGACATTTTGTCACCCTGTTAGGTAACATCGTCAGTGCGCTTTTCCTTTCTACCTGTCCTTTCCAAATGCCACACATCCTTGAATATTCAGTTCCCTGTACCATGTTTATGTAATGGTAATTAGATTCTCCCAACTTTCTTTTCTTGATATCTTTTACTCATTCACTTTGCTGCTAAAGTCTTTTATTCCCCATTCTAATCTTCATCAATGCTCACCTTTGTTTCACCTGTCTTCTATTCTCACTTAACACTTTTCTACTTCCTGCTACTAGCTTCCCTGGAGGGGAGGCTAGGGCCTAGTGGTATCACCATTGGGCTGTCACTCTAGAGACCGAAATAATGTTCTGGGGACCTGGGTTTGAATCCTGCCATGGAAGATGGTGGAATTTGAATTCAATTCTGGAATTAAGAGTCTAATCATAACCATGAATTTATTGTCAATTGTAGGAAAAGCTCATCTGGTTCACTAATGCCGTTTAGGGAAGGAAACTGCCATCCTTACCTGGTCTGGTCTATATGTGACTCCAGACCCACAGCAATGAGGTTGCATCTTGACTGTCCTGTGGGCAATTAGGGATGGGCAATAAATGCTGGCCTAGCCAGCAATGCCCTCATCTTGTGAATGAATAAAAAAAAACTTACTTCCAATTTAAGGCACCCCTCAGGATCCTGTTACCCTAATATCTTGTTTTAATCCTCCCCAAAAGCACAAGTGATTAATTCAAATTAAAGCTGATCGCCTTCCACTTTCCTACCTGATCATTCACTCAGTGTCTAAAAGTCTCATTCAAACTCTTGAATGTATCCAACAAGTGAACAGCCACAGCTTCTGGTGTGAAGAACACTGAAGATTCACAACCTTCAGAAAATCCCATTGCAATGGCCAAACCTTAACAGCTGACATTACAAACTCTGACTCTAGATTCTCCAGCCTGGGGAGAAAACTGCTTACTATTTATGCAGCAAACCCTTTCAGAATCCTAAATAAAAACCAAAAGAACTGCGGATGCTGCAAATCAGGAAGAAAAACAAAGTTGCTGGAAAAGCTCAGTAGGTCTGGCAGCATCTGTGAAGGAGAAACGAAACGTTAACTCTGTTTTCTCCTTCACAGATGCTGCCAGACCTGTTGAGCTTTTCCAGCAACTTTGTTTTTGTTCCTTTCAGAATCCTATATGTTTCAATGAGATTATCCCTCAGCTTTCTAAAACCCTGAGAATATAGGCCCATTGAATGCAATCTCTCCTCATAGACAACATTGTTATCTCAAAACTTCACTGCAACCTCTCCAAGGCAGACATGTTCTCCATTGGGAAGGAAATCAAACTCTATGCAATTCTCCAGGTGTGGTCTGTAAGTCCTGTCTAAACCAAACTACAGCAGCATTTGCTTACTCATGTACTTACACCTCCAGCAACAAAAACTGAGCTGCATCCAAAAACAGATCTGTAAAGTAAGTGCCATCCATTGTTTGAGGAACTGCCCAAGAATTGGAGTTGGAAATTAAATTTACTCTTAAGGGACCACCTGGAATACTGTGATCAGTTTTGGTCCCTTTATATAAGGAAAGATATACTGACATTAGAGATAGTCCAGAGAAGGTTCACTAGGCTGACACCAGGCATGGAGGGACTATCGCATGAGGAGAGATTGAGTTGGTTGGGCCTGTACTCACTGAAATTTAGAAGAACAAAAAGTGATTACCTTCGTGATTATGAAACACATAAGACTAGAAGAAACCCACCGACACATAAACAACATCCTCACCGGAATAAAATTCACAAAAGAAGGAGGACAATAACCGACTCCCCTTCCTAGACATAATGGGGAACTCCAGACTGGAGTATACAGAAAAACCACCCATACGGACCAGATACTTAATTATTAAGTACCACCCCAACACGCATAAATGGAACTGCATCAGGACATTATTCAAATGGACAACAACACACTGTAGCAATCCGGAATTGTGCAAAGTAGAACAGGAACACTTTTATGGAGTTTTTAAAAGGAATGGACACCCAGAAAGCACCATCCGCCGTTACCTCTGTGACAGACCGCAACAAGAAGACACAACACAGCTAGACACACTAGTCACCTTACTGTACAGAGATATATCAGAGATGACCACAAGACTACACAGACCCCAGGTATCAGGGTAGCCCACAAACCAACAACCACCTCTGACAGCTACAGACGAACGTAAAGGATCCCATACTCAAAACCAATGAAACTAATGTAATATACAAAATACCATGCAAGGACTGTGAGAAAAATTACATAGACCAGACTGGAAGAAAACAGACAATAAGGATACACGAACACCAACAAGCCACCAAGAGACTAATTTTCACTGGTCTCAACACATGGATAAAGAAGGACACAAATTCAACTGGGACAACTCATCCATAATAACACAAGCCAAACAGAAACATGCCAGGGAATTCCTGGAGGCCTGGCTTTCCAACCGGAACTCCATCAACAAACACATTGAACTGGCCCCGATATACAAACCACTGAAAAACGGAACCAGAAGTAATACCAACCACCCCAGCAAAGCGAGGCATATAAATAACAAGCGGGACAGAACACCAACGCTTCACCGGAGGCGCGCTGACGATATTACCTAGCAGGGTGACGAAACGTCTGTAACCAAACACACTGGCTCGGCGAGCAAGTCTAGAACAGGTTCACTTATGGAAACGAGATGGTGGAGGTTACAGAACAAGGCAGAAGTGAGGAGGATAAATGGATTTCTCTGAGATGTGTCCTACTTTTGACCATCTTTACATTTTTAGTGTATGATGCAGCCTGACTGACAGATCGTTGAGAAAATGTTGAAAAGTGCCTGCCTACGCTAATGTGGTCATAAAGAGAGAGTCTCCAATGAACAATTCATTAACACCATCCCCCATGTTTCACAAAGCTGGCATTGCAATTCAGTCTGCACTCCCTATGCCATGACCCTGTGCTTATTAAAATTTATAGCTCTATTTGTAAATCCCACAGGATTTAGTCCTTTACTCATGTACCTAACACAAACTGCGTTCAACAACATTTGGACCAGATCAGGAGAAGGTCAGTCAGACACGTTTGTAACCAGCTAGCAGAGTTATATCTTTAGACTACTTTCCTGATGACTCAGCTGCATTGTGCTTCCCACTACTACATTAAATTATTTAATGCAGCAAGCTGGTCAAACACTCATGGGTCCCAACTGACCTTACTTTGATCAATTGCAGCTCAGCCAGAATGTTAATCATTGCAGCAGTTTACAACTGTGACTGTGTAATTTATTATGTAAAGTAAGAACCCTGGATTTCCTTCCTCACTCCAAAGAACTTTGGAAATGAATGAGATTGTGAAATTGGAAAGGTCCTAAAACTCAATTGATGAAAATTAATATGCTATTAACACTCCAGCTCTATGGGATAAAGCTGATGACATAAAGGCCTCAAAAGGCCCGGATCATAACCTCATGGTAGTTATGGGCAACAGCGTGATGTGACGGGAGGCTGCGATTCCATCTCCCATTCTCAAGATTGTTCAAAGTGCCTGTCCTCTAAAATCAGTCCATTATTCATTTACCACAATGTTAGGAAGCATTTATCGGAAGGGATCAATGGTTAGAACAGAAACTTCAGTAACTTATATTTACCCAACTTAAAACAAACCAAACTTCACTGTAAATCAAAATCAGTGGTTTGGCACCTCGAAACTGTGCATCAGAAATTAAATATTTATGGTGCAAAAGTATGTATTGACTGACAGTGATTCATTTATTATGCATTTGTGTACAACTGAGGATACAACATAAATTGGAATCTTGTCCAAAGTCTAAAATGCCACTCACCTGCCGAGGAAGAAAGCAATGTAGAAGATTGAACTATTAAGGTTTACAAATTGGAAGAGAAACATTTTTAGAGCAAAGCTATTCTCCCATTCAGACTCTGTGCGGGGATGTTCTGCAACAATAGATAATGTCCAGGTAAGTTATAGAACAAAAATGAAGGGGTGTCATAGAATCGTACAGTTGAACAGCACGGAAACAGACCCTTTGGTCCAACTCGTCCATGCTGACCAGATATCCTAAATTAATCTAGTCCCATTTGCCAGCATTTGGCCCATCTCTTTCGAAACTATCCTTATTCATGCAGCTATCCAGATGCCTTTTAAATGTTGTAATTGTACTAGCCTCCACAACTTCCTCTGGCAGTTCATTCCATATACGCACTGCCATCTATGTGAAAATGTCGTCTCTTGGGTCCATTTTAAGTCTTTCCCCTCTTACCTTAAACCTGTGCCCTTTATTTTTGGACTCCCCTACCCTGGGAAAAAGATCTTAGTTATTCACCTTATCCATGCTCCTCATGATTTTATAAACCTCTACAAGGTCACCCCTCAGCCTCTGGCGCTCCAGGGAAAATAACCCCAGCCAATTCAGCTTCTCCCTACAGATCAAACCCTCCAACTGCGGCAACATCCTTGTAAATTTTTTCTGAACCCTTTCCTTAAGAAGAGATGTTTTTAACTCTCTGTGGTTGACATTTACAGTGAATAAAGGCTCTTGTAAACATTTAGCCAAAACAAATTCAAGTTTGGTTTTCAAAGTAACACTTATGCTAAGAAATATACTTTTTTGTAGGTCTACACATATGTTTAGTTTTATTCCCAATAAAGCTGAAAGACAATTACATTCAATTCTTATATTTGATGAAATGTAGGCACTTTATGCTTTCATAAGTTAAATCATTCAAAGGATGAGCTATGAAATTAGAACAGTATAGGACAGGAACAGGCCCTTCGTCCCACCATGTCTGTGCTAACCATAATGCCATTGTAAACTAATATCATCTGCCTGCACACAGTCCATAGCCCCCTATTCTCCGCCTGTTTATATGTCTGTCTAAAAGCCTCTTAAACATTGATTTTGTATTGGCCTTTACACCCCACCAGCAGCACATTCCAGGCACCTACCACCCACTGTGTAAAAAAAAACTTGCCTCGCACAGAGATAGTG